TCATTCTCTTACCCTCTTCCTTTCCTTCCTCTCCATTGCCACCTGCTCCCAGATGCCAAGCCAGGAGCTGGGGAGCCCCCTAGCCTCCTTTCTCTCCCTTGCTCCCTGAAAATGATCAGATGTCACGCCTGTCGGGCTGTCTCTCCACCTGACATGCCCAGCACCTCTTAGCTGAGCTCAATCCCTCCTCCATTTCCCACTTATTACCGCAGTAACCTATTAAATTGTTCTCCCTACGCCCAGCCTCATCTCGTTCCAGCCCATCCTCCATGCTGTTGCTATTTCTAAAATGCAAATTTGATCATGTCTCTTTCCTGCTTAAAATTCTTCATTTGCTTCCCATCACCTTCAGGATAAAATCCAATCTCTTTAGCATGTCACACATGGTCCTTTGTGACCTGGCCCCAATTTCTCACTCTGGCCTCATCTATTCCAACCCCAGTTCCTCCCCTCATCCAAGACGTCACATTTGGGCTCTCGATGTGCCTAGACATTTAGAGATCCCTGAACACGCGACGCTCACTCACCTCTGAACGTCAGCCCTTGTTTTTCCATCCGGTTGGAGTGGCCAGACATATCTCCACTTCCACATCACCACAAACCCCCTCCTGGGTCCTCCTGATCCACCTGGCCCTTCAGGCCTGAGCACAGAAGATGGCCTCTGGGAGCCTGGGGGTCAGAGCCACACCTCTGCACACACATCTGTCACAACACTTACCACGTTGCAGAGCGCTTGTCTGTTTCTTTCTGACTCTTGTCGATCAGCTGCGAGTTGGTAAAGTCAAGAACCGCCCCTGTCACTTTTAGATCCTTAGGGCTTATGTGTGAGTGAGCAGGACAGGGTCTGCATTAAGATCCGACTCCAAGCTCACGCTCTTCCCACGTGGCATCACATGTTAGTATTCGGGAATGCATTCCTTCATGTAGCAGATATTTAATGGAATCTGCTTTATGCCAGGCTTGCTCTAGCAGTGCGGGTTCCATGGGGTTAATGGGATACATTCCTGTCTCCCTCTTCGGTCGCCGTCTTTCAGAGCAGATCCTGATCTTTTGCTATTCTGATTCTCTGATGGGATACTCGTTCGTCTTCTAGTCTGTTTCCCGAATCCATTCTCTCCGCGGGTCCCACCTGCCATGTTTACATTTACGTGTCGCTGACCTCCCGCAGGTGTCCATGGAGCTGTATCTCCAGGTTCAGCCTGCCTTATCCTGTACAGTACTCCTGCTCCCTGCTCCCCGGGTTCTGGCTCAAACACTTCCCTTCTCTTCTCTTACTTCTCTACACTCACCCAGAATTGTATACTTTGCACAACTGCAGGATCTCCACCTTGTTCTCCCTGCTCCGGATCTCTCCCTTGCCAAATTAGTCCTGCTAGAATAATCTAAACATGCTGTTTGGGCAAGTGTCAGGTTTATGGTCCTTGTTCTGTTATTCAAGGCCCTTCCACATCTCCTGTGGCTTCCCTGTCATCAACCACAATCTTCTTTCATCATTTTTCTCTTGTTAACACCCAGAGGACAGAGAGCTACAACTTTTTTTTTTCCTTCTTCCCATTTCCTTCCACCATTTGCCTAAATTTTATCCTTCCCTTAAGGCCCAACCCAAATCCCATTTTCCCCAGGAAGCTTTTGGCTCTTTCGGGCCAGGACCATGTCTTTCTTCTTTGATCTATTACCATTTACTCTTATACAACCTACACTTTGTAACTCACTTAGGTAACGTAATCATCTATGGCCGGTGGGCCAAATCTGGCCTGCTGCCTCTTTTTTGCAGAGCCTATGAGCTAAGAATGGTTTTTACATTAAAATTTAAAAAGAAGAAAAAGAATATTTCATGACACATAAAAATTATATGAAATTCACACTTCCGTGTCCACAAATAAAGTTTTATTAGAACAGAGCCGCACTTATGGGCTTATTGTTGCGGACTGGTTTCAAGCTGTAGTGGGAGCCGTAAATCATTTCAGTAGAGACCATCAGGCCTGCAAAGCTTAACATAGTTACTATTTGGCTGTTACAGAGAAAGCTTGCTGATCTCTGATCTACGATCTTCAATTTTCTTTCTAATCTTTGCATAGCTGCTTAAGAACTGTGGAGAGACCTGCTTCATCCAAGGCAATCTTTTCAGTGCTAATTAGCCACTGATTAGAAAGGGTTGGGGGGAACCCGAGGAGTAGGCTTCCTAGAGTGAGGAGGAGCTGGCCTAGTTAGAAATTGGCTAACTTAGGCAACCACGTCCCATTGTAAGTAAGAGTCAGAGGATCTCAGGTGGATGGGGGAAAATACTTGATCTTGTCCCCTTCTCTGTTTCAGATCTGGCAGAGAAAGTGTAGAAGCAGATTGGGTGATGTATAGAAGTGTTCAATCACCATATTGTACACCTCAAACTAATATAACACTGTATGTTAACTATATTGGAATTTTAAAAAATTAAATTAGTGGGGCGCCTGGGCGGCTCAGTTGGTTGAGCGTCTGACTCTCGGTTTTGGTTCATGCCATGATCTTGGGGTCTGGAGATCGAGCCCCACCCTGTGTGGGGCTCCATGGTCAGTGTGGAGTCTGCTTGAGATTTTGTCTCTCTCTCTCCCTCTGCCCCTCCCCCTTCTCACTCTCTCTTGCTCTAAAATAAGTAAAATCTTTTTTTTTTTAAGATTTTATTTTATTTATTTGACAGAGAGAGACACAGCAAGAGAGGGAACACAAGCAGGAGGAGTGGGAGAGGGAGAAGCAGGCTTCCCGAAGAGCAGGGAGCCCAATGCAGCGTTTGATCCCAGGACCCTGGGATCATGACCTGAGCCAAAGGCAGCCGCTTAATGACTGAGCCACCCAGGCAGCCCCCAAAATAAGTAAAATCTTGAAAAAAATATTTTTTAAGTACTAAGGACAAAGAAAGAAAATGTAAAAGTATAGAGAAGCTAGCTAGAGAAGGGTTATTTGAGGTCTTATCTGAATCTGGTTGTTGAAAAGAGATCAGTGGTTCTTGGCTGAGAGTAGCTCAGCTATTAAATGACTCAGTTAGTACAGGCCATGGAGGAAATTATCAAAAGGGTGTCGTGGCTGAAGCCGAGAGTTTGGTTTTGGCTCGCTGAAACTGTATGTAGGCTAAGAGGTTTTACAATGCCTAGAAGGATCACAGGCAAGAGAGTTTGAAGGATTTCCTTAAGGTAGAAATGAAGGCTAGATATTTAGAGAAGCAGGACTGGCAGTTGAAGTCATCAGGGAGTTCACGACTTCTCCCTACATGTTCTGCTTCTCTTCATCGTGCTCTAACCATATTTTTTCCTTGAAACTTACATGACATAATTATTAAATAAAATTCCATCTTCTCAAAAAATACTCTCTACAGATTGGACTGTGGGCTTCATCTTTCACATCTGCTCCCTACACCCCGCTTGGCTAGTGGACTCTGGCACTCAAACCGGACCACCAGACGGGCTGCTCCTTGAAGTACAGGAGGATGCAAGCTGGACTCCCAGAGCAGGACTTGGATATCGAACCCATTTTAATGGCAACAATAGACAAAAAGTCATAATAAGTAAGTTGTTGCATAATACGTGTGTTATACATAATAAGTAAGTTGTGGTAATAAGTGTGTCTCCTTTTTTTATAGTCTCACTGTCATGCCTGGCACAGTGGAGGGCACATTGTCACAAGGAGACTGAATGCATAAGCAGTTTTTTTTTTTTAAGATTTTATTTATTTATTTGACAGATAGAGATCACAAGTAGGCAGAGAGGCAGGCAGAGAGAGGAGGGAAGCAGGCTCCCTGCAGAGCAGAGAGCCGGATGTGGGGCTCGATCCCAGGACCCTGGAATCACGACCTGAGCATAAGGCAGAGGCTTTAACCCACTGAGCCACCCAGGCGCCCCGTGTTTTTTTTTTTTTTAAGTAAATTGTGACATTTTTTGATTATTCATTACTTACTTACTTATTTATTTATTTAAGACTTTATCTATTTATTTGAGAGAGAGAGAGAGATAGGGATAGGGAACACAAGCAGAGATGAGAGGGAGAAGCAGGCTCCCGCTAATGCGGGACTCAATCCCAGGATCCTGGGACTATGACCCTAGCCGAGGGCAGACTCTTAACCAACTGAGCTACCCAGGCTCCCCAGAATAAGCAGTTGTAAATTAACTTCGGTGGGGAGCCCATTACCTATTCAAGTGGATGCTAAGGTACCATCTCCCCCCCCCTCGCCATTATATGGGAGGTAAGATTGATGGATTTTTAAAAAATATTTTATTTATTTATTTGACAGAGACAGAGAGAGAGAGATCACAAGTAGCCATCGAGGCAGGCAGAGAGAGAGGGTGAAGCAGGCTCCCTGTGGAGCAGAGAGCCGGTTGCGGTTGCAAGGCTTGGTTCCAGGACCCTGAAACCATGACCCCAGCCGAAGGCAGAGGCTTAACCCACTGAGCCACCCAGGCGCCCCAAGACTGATGGATCTTAAAATGTCTTTCCACCCCTCAGATCTGTCATATTCCCAAACAAACAGGCACTTCACAATTTCCCTGTTCTTTGCCACGGAATACGGTCCACTTGCTCTGTCTCTCGTCCTTCCCCTCCCTCTTCCTACCCTCTCCGCATCAGGCTGCCATCCTACGACTAAGTCTTATCTGCAGCATCTCTTGGCTTTACCCTTTCCACTCCTGGTTTCCTGCGTCTCGTGGACCCTCGTGATTTCCCTCCAGCTCTTCCTTCTCGCTCTCACAAACTCGCACGCTCCGTCCTTCCCCCTCTCCTTCCCTCCTTCGTGCGCTGCTCCTTCCTCTCCCTCCTCTGCGCCCGCTCCTTGGGTTTCCGCGCTCTCAGCCCCCGACGGTCTCCCCCTCCTTCCCGCTCTCGGACCGTCTTACCCTAGTTTGGAAATGCCGCAGACCTCCGGGCCCGCCGCCATTGGGTGCGAGCGGCCGTCACTCTGCGGCCGGAGGCGCTCCCATTGGTCGCGCTGGAGGCGGGCGCGGAGCCGACTATAAAAGGTGGGCCCGGAGGAGGCGCGCGGAGCGGCTCCGACAGGACGGGGTCGGGAGGGGACGCCCGGCGGGAAGCTCGTCGCCCAGAGCCGGGGTGCGGGTTCCGGAGCAGCGGCTCCCCGCGCGAGACTCTGCTCTTCGGCCGGGGCGCGCCCTGCCGAGCCCGACCACCCGCGGCCGTCGCCCGCGCAGCCCCGAGGGCCCCTCGCCTCCCCTGCACGTGCCGCGCCCCGCGCGCCCCGTCCGGCCGCCGCGATGAGCGAGGTGAGCGCGGGCGCTGCCGGGCCCCCGGCTCCGGGCGAGCCCGCGGCGGGGAGGTCGCGGCCCGGGTCCCAGGGAGCGAGGGAGGGCGCGGCAGCCGGGAGCCACGGAGACCTCCGGGGGCGCCCCACTGCCCCTCCGGGGAAGCTCCCATCTCGGGCCCTGGGAAGCGACTGGAAGACGGAGGCTTCAAGCCCCTCACTGTGCAGGGAGCTTTTGCTGGGGGGTGGGGGGGGTTGGGGGCGCGGTGGCTGGAACCGGGTGTAAAGGGGACTGCGACCTCGGGGGATAAGTCGCCTTCTCCGGATACCACCCTCTGCATCTGCCCTAGCGCTCCGAGGGCGCTCGGGCTTCCCTTCGGTCCCCGGACTTCCGGGAGAAACGCTGTCCTGCATCGTCCCTCTCGGAGGGCTGTGCTGCTCTTGCTCTGGTTAGGTAGCCTTCGGCAAGAACTCCAGCCTAGCCCCCTGAGGTGGCCACTTTTTCCCTTTGGGAAGGGGGCATCCAGCCTCTTCTCATTCAGGCGGGAACCAGCCATAGGAGGGACCGTGTCTGCTATTCCGGAGCCCCTGCATGTCCACTCCGGGGGAGCTGTCCCCTTCAAGAGGGATCTCCCTCTGCAGTGCTTGTTACATCCTAGGTCTTCCTGTCAGGATCCACCGTGCTCATCCGAGCCAGAACCAGTCCATTAACTGGCATTTTTCTCTCTTCCCAGAACACCATTCATAGGGAGGGGGTCAAAGCAGAGACTTGGAAAGACCTCTTCCATGGTTTGAATGCATTCGAAGGATCCAGAATCAAGGGTCTTCCTTCCCAAGTGAAGTCAGTATGATCAGAAGCATCACAGGCTTGCTCCATGCAACCCCGTTCCCAGTGCCCAGCATCTTGGGATAAAACCAACTTCTCAGCTGTATGCCAGGTCTCAGCCCTACTACTTACTAGCTGTGTGGCTTTAGGCAGTTCCGAAACCATTCTCTGTTTCAGTGTTTTATCTATAAAATTGGGGGAATACAGATCGGTTTTTTTTTTAAAGATTTTATTTATTTATTTGACAGACAGAGATCACAAGTAGGCAGAGAGGCAGGCAGAGAGAGAGAGTAGGAAGCAGGCTCCCTGCTGAGCAGAGAGCCCGATGCGGGGCTCGATCCCAGGACCCTGGGATCATGACCTGAGCTGAAGGCAGAGGATTTAACCCACTGAGCCACCCAGGTGCCCCTGTTTTTTGTTTTGTTTTTTTTTTTTTTTTAAGATTTTTATTTATTTATTTGACAGAGAGAGATCACAAGTAGGCAGAGAGGCAGGCAGAGAGAGAGAGTAGGAAGCAGGCTCCCCGCTGAGCAGAGAGCCCGATGCGGGACTGGATCCCAGGACCCTGAGATCATGACCCGAGCCAAAGGCAGCGGCTTAACCCACTGAGCCACCCAGGTGCCCCAGATTGTTTTGATTCAATGAGATGATACATGCAAAGTACTTAGGACAGTGGCACAGAGGAGGTACTCAGTCTACATTAGCTGTGTCCCTATTTCTTCTTTTCTGCTTTTGAATATGACAGAAAAGGAGCACAAGCCTTCTCAAGAAGACCAGGCTTGCGGGCAGGGGTCAGGACCCTGGAGCCTAGGTCTCAGTTCAGATCTTTATCTTTAGTAGGAGCTCTGCTGGCTCCCACCAAAACTGTCGTCCAGGGAGCCAATTAGTGCCGACTGCTATGTTGTCTTTGTTGCCATGTCCACTAAGTTTATCCTGGAAAATTCAGCTAGTCTGGGGGCTACAGATGAACTAAAGTGGTTTCTAGTCCCTCAGCTGGTTGTGACTGTGACCATGGCAGCCTTTCCGAAAGAAAAGGGGGAAAATGTATCTCTATCTCTATCTATCTATCTATTTCAGTCTTCTTTCCTCTTGCTTCTAACATGAGCAGCCCTGATAGGAGAAGAGAGGTTTTCTTTGCCCTCTTTCTCACTAAGAGCCAGAGTTCAAGGCCCCTTCTAGAGTTTCTAAATCTGAAAGTTGCAATTCAAGCCATCCCCTGGGAGTTTGTGATCTGAGGGCCATGCCAACATGAAGATGTGTGGTTGGCCTGAGTTTTTGGGGGGAATTGCACAGACTTTCTGTAGGACATGCCACAGGGACTGGCATTTATGGTGGTGTTTGGTGGAGTGACAAAGAGGTTTCAGTGACAGGGAAAACGGTTGGGTGTTTGAGGGGAAAGTCGAGTCTTGACTTATTGGCTGAACTTGGCTGGCCTCACTCAGGAGCTCAGCAAAATGATGACGATCGGACCCTTGGATGGGGACTAGCTCTTCCTGTGTGTGCCGGGCTGCCCAGCCTCCCAGGCTGTCAGATTGAGCTGGTTTTAACCAGCAATTTAGCTGTCAACGCTGCCTTTTAATAGGGAGCTGAGCCTGGCTTCAGGGATGAGTCTTTACAAAACCCAGAAGCAGCCACCTGGGAGTACACATAGACTAGCTCTTTCTGAACCAGATCCCCAAAGGGGCTCTGCTTCCCTAGAGCCCGAGACCCAGCCTGTTTTCTTCCTCTGGAAAGAGCTCTGGTAAAAAGCGGAAGTGTTGCCGGGGGCTCTGGAGCTCTCTGGAGACCCCGCTTCATTTCTCTCAGTGCATCCCCACGGGGCTCCTTGCTCGGGCAGAAGTGCCCAGCCCAGGAAAGCTCCGTGCACCCCAAATCTTATATAAGCTTCACCTCCCCCACCTGCTTATCTGCTTGCTTCAGAGAAGTGGCCTGCCACAAGAGCATCTGGATCTCATGGAGAGATCTCCATTTCAAGGGAGAGTAAAAGCTGGAGAGCGGTCTTCAGACCCTGTGTGCCCGCAGAGCAGGGGTGCTGGTGGGGCCGCTGGGGAGGAGCTCCAGCCCTCCGCTTTGCCTCCGTGGCCACTCGCTGTCCCTTGCTGTCCCTCAGTACTGCAGCCGAGCATCTCCCTGTCCACGTGCGTGTGAATCCGTGCGCAGAGGAGCCGCAGGACTCCTCTCCAGCCTGTCCTATTCACAGCCGCAGGCAGGACCCGACTGCTGTGAATCACAGTCTGTCTCGGAGAGTTTCGTAACTTTTCTTCACCCGTTTCATTGAGGGATGGGAGAAGCGTTCACTCCCTGAGGGCTGGTGCCTCTAAAATCCCTCATCCCATGCTGGAGTTGCTGCTTCACAGCACGCTCGGCAAGTTCTCCTGTGATCCTGTTGCATTTCTCAACGGAGAGGAGCCCTCCTGGAGGAAGCCCTTGGTGTGGCAGTCATTCTGTCACAAGGGGGGTCTTGGATGGGAACCGCCCTCCTGGTGTCTGTCTTGTGTGTGGGCTGGCAGGGCTGGAGCGAGGAACGGATCCATGAGAAATCTCACTAGGAGAGAGCTTAGAACTGATACCCCCTCCTTTATTATTCTGCTTGCTGTCCTCTTTTTTTTTTTTTTAAGATTTTATTTATTTATTTGACAGAGAAATAGCACAAGTAAGCAGAGCAGCAGGCAGAGGGAGAGAGAGAAGCAGACTCTCTGCTGAGCAGGGATCCCAATGCGGGGCTTGATTCGGGGCTTGATCCCAGGACCCTGGAATCATGACCTGAGCCGGAGGCAGTGGCTTAACCCACTGAGCCACCCATGTGCCCCTGCTTGCTGTCCTCTTAAGTAATAGGAACAGAATAGCACATTTGGAGGTCACATCCTCTTTTCTGTGCATATCAGCACAGGAAATCCCCACAATGGAAGTTTGGTCAGGTTGATATCTTCTGTGAGCCAGTTTTTAGGGAACCTGGTAGGGACTTGAAGGAAATCCCAGTGTCTCTCTCCCTTTCTCTCTCTCTGGTATTTTATTATGATTATGGTTCTAGTGGACATATAAAATAGAAGGGTTAGTTATTTAATATTGGGATACCTTCCACCTCTGGAAATGATCTGTCTTCCAAAGTAAGGGAAACCAGAACTTGGTTCTAGAACTTGCTTTTCCTTTTCTTAGTCACCCATCCAGGTTGTTGGCTCTGGCTGCTTGAGCAGGAGCCTGTCACTGGGGAAAGCGGATGACTGCTGTCCTCTAACCGGGAATGTGGATGACTGTTTCTGCTAAGCAGCAGCTGTGATCTGGTACCTCTCAGAATGTCAAGTCTTTATAGGGGCAGGCACCCGTAAATAATGTGGCTGGTGTCCAAATATGCAAATCTCATGCCTCTTTCATGTCTCTCTGTGGGGGGTCTTAGCTGATGAACATGATGGAGATAAGGTTGAAGGGGGAGAGGCAGGAGGAAAGATCGGGTCAGCAATTGTCTTTTCAAGGTAGTGCTTCTATGAATGTCTTTCCCCATTTTCTGTTATTCTGTAGTTCCAAATTGTCTTTCATGAGTCTGTTTTATCATGGAAAAACTCAGTTTGCAAAAAATCTTTAAGACAGAAATACAGGTATATCTTTCACCAAGAGAATCTCAAATAATATACCCAGACATTTTAGTGATATAATTTTAGATTTGTTAATAGATTTGATATAATTTTAGATTTGTTAAGAAGCCCTAAAGCTCATATGATCCCATCTTCTCATCTTACAGATGAGGAAACTGAGGCCCAAACCTTATGTAAGTTGACACAATGCTAGAGCCAAGACTAGGACACAGACTTCTCACAGCAAAAGAATTCCATAAGAGCCCTTTAATGTGTTACCCCAGTGAGTACAGAATGCTTTAGTTTATATGCAACTGTAAAGGAATAGATCACAAGTACTTTCTACAGGAAATCTGAGCAGTGTGATTTAATAAATGCTCAAACAGAGGGTAGAGAGAAAGACCAGCATGAGACGATAGTTATCAGCAGCAGACATTTGGGTAGAATACTAGACAGCCCGGGTACTATCCTCCCTGAGGCAGGATGATGTCTGGTCATCCTGGAAGTGGGTGCCCGAGTGACGCTGGAGGCCCAGAGGCCCCCTTTCATGGTTCTTAATTCCTGGTGTCCCTCATTGATCTCCATAACCTGCAGAGCATCAAGGACCAGAAGGAGCAGTTTTCTTTC